AAAAGTCTCTACCAAAATCTACAACAGTAGCCTCAACATGGAACAAAGTCTTTGGAAATATCACTAGACCATACATGGCAAGAGTAAATGTGTCCAATCTCTTATCTTCATATATATGCTCGAGTATCACCTTCTTGAGACAATTCCAAGGAAAACATTCACTTTATCCTTTTTGTTGAATGTACTCTACTATCTCATTTTCACCTGTACCAATAATTTTCACCAATTTACTCTGAAAGGATTTGATTTTTGGAGGTTTGGAATAAATTCTATCCACCTGGAGGTTTTCGAAATAGAGTTGTATACTCCTCGATTGTTGGTGTCAAATCTTGTCTGTTGAAAGTGAAACAGCTGTATGCAAGGGGTCCAGAATCGGACCAAAGCCTTGAGCAACGGTTCATCTATCTTTACATAAAGGAGCTGAGCTATGTCACCATATTTCTTGTAGAATTTCTCCTTGGTTACTACTCTCTAAATCTCTTAGATCTCTATCAACTCTTGTATATCATTCCTCTTGAGATTAACATCTGTGGACATTTGTGATACTTAATCTCCAGGTAAATTGTCTCCTTTCGCCCTTTGTGTTTATTCAGACTAAGCTTGAACCTCCGGATTGAGTTCTTCCTTGTTATGAAAACTCTTTTCCATTTCAATGATCACTCTTCTAATATGATGATTACTTGGTTTAATCAACACCTTTCTTTTATTCATGATGATTATGCAAACGCGAAGATGCAAATACAAATGCAAAAGTGATGATACTTGAAATGCAATGCAACAAAGATAAAAAGAATGACACAAACAAAAGAAACAAAATAAGTTAGTGTCAAAAACAAAAAAGAAAAATAAATTAGTACCAGCAATATAATCAATAGAGTTAAAAGATGCTATTTATAGATAAATATAACACCTACCCAATCATGATATCTACCCGAGCATGCTTTTAAATAGATAACAATCCTACCCGAACATGCTTTCTACCCAAAAATGATTAATTTCAATGAAATGATCATAACTACATGGTATCTAGTTCGCATGCTTTTATTCGAAAAGAAAATTTAAAGCAAAAAAATAAAGATTCAGAAAAGCTTCTTCTTTGTGTACACTGAATTGGGTACCTACTGACGGACAGAGGTTCGGTATGAATTTCATTGGGGTGGATTACTAAAGTTCATTATATGCATGGTTTCGGCTCTAACGAGAGAGAGAAAAGTAATTGAATTGTCCTTAATGTCGGTGCCCCCTTGGGCTACCAAACCCTCAATCCTGGCCTATTACAGGCTCGTGCGGATCGAGTTCAATTCGAGAGGATACATTCCCTTATGTCTATGCGGAGAAATAATTTATCTCACGTATACATAAGGTATATGAACCCCAAAGATTACTTACTAAAACTCGCGCGGAGAAACAAATTATCTCACGTAGGTTAAACTTTCATCTCAACTTAAAAGGGACAAAGCTCATAAGTAAGCTTACGGTATGCAAATGCCCGTGATGTGTGTGAAGAGGAACATTCAACCCTTTGACTCAAAAGGAATACGACACCACTCGGTAAAAACTTGGACAGTTCTGAAAGCAAAAATTCAAATGTTAGTATGACAAAATGAAACAATTAAAAACTTCAATAAATGAATCATAAGTTAACTAAAGACTCGAACTCATAATTTCCACCACACGACAATGTGTAAACCACTTACAGCCTAACTCTCTAAAACGTTCCCCAGCGGAGTCGTCAAGCTGTCGTAACTGTTTTTCGGCTGGAATAATCGTTTAATTTTTTTAAAAACAGTTACGACTTTTAATTTTGAAAATGGGTGATTTTGGATTAAATTGAAAAGAGTCACTATCGACCTTTAAGTTAGGTAGGTCGAATACCTAAAAACGTCTTTTTTAAAAACAATTTTAAGAAAAATCAATTTTTTAAGACAAAAATTGATATACGTTTACCAAAGATTCGATTAAAATGGGTTCGGAAGTCGGTTACGCATGGGGAAGGATTAGCACCCACAACGCCCAAAATTGGTATTGTGTCGCTTACATATTGTCGTAATAGTGGAAATCCTGATTCAAATATCAAATTAAATTATGATATATTTATTAAATATTGATTAATTTACTTCAAATTAATTATTTACAGAAAATCCTTTTACACAAATTAATAAAACAAAATTGATTTATTTCAAGTTCACGTTAGTTCGAATGTCGTATTGAATCACACTGCTTCGATCAAGCAGTACTCTTCACGTCCATTATATAAATGTGTTTTTTGAAAATATTTTAAATACTAACATACAAAATTATTTTCAAACAAAGCAAAATCTGTAAACGAATTCGTAAATATCAAATATATAGCATAAATGAATATATATATATATATATATGCTAAGTACAAAAAATATCAAATGAACAGCAATACACGTGCATATAGTACCTAAAATGTCTTTATATGAAACCACTAATATATAAAGCAGAGTAATCTATATAGATACATCATACATTGGATATAAAAAATGAAAAGCAAATCACGGTATACTGAGTTCAAAATTAAAATCTAAGATCAACAATTATTTTAAAACACAATACTTAAGAACTAAAATAGGAGATAAGAAAGCCTAAAAAAATAAGTGATAAATATAGATAGATTCATGAATGCATAGACTAGTATCAAAATATACTAAAACATAAACATATAGCCCCAAAAAAACATTAACCAAAATATACATACAACAAATTGTATAGTGATTAAAATGCAAATACAGAGAAATTTGAGGATCGAATCAAGACGAAATAATTTTATTCAATGACTTAAAGGATAACATTACAAAAACGAAGGGACTTAAACTGTGATTTTACCTTGAAGAAATGAAAAGCACGGTGATTTATAGGGCATGGATCAAACCGTGATTTACCCTAAACATTGAAGAACAAAGCTGCTACAAACTCAATGCTCGGTCCCCTTTTGTTTTTCCCCCTCACGTATATCTCTCCCCTATTGGTGACTTTCTGCGTGCCCCCTTTTTACAAGGATTGATTATAGCCCCAATTCTCACATGCTTTTACATAAAATAATACAATTTGTTGGGTGTTTGATGCATCAGACATGCATTTATCCATTTAGTGCCAGGAAACAAAGGATATTGGTAATTTACGTATGGTGACATAAGATATAATGAAAATGGTGCTTGGTGAAGTCATGAAACACGTGAATGGTGGAGTGGGTAGAGTATGGGTAGTGGAGCATAGTAAAAAAATGATGCTGACAAAAATCATGTCGATATAAACAAGGTCGACTTATTGCAAGTCTTCCTGATGATGTATAAAACATCCATGTATAATTTCATACATGTATTGCCCTCACCTTGACACTTTATAATTTTTCCAAATATTTGTGCCTCATTATTGTCCACAATAAACCCTTTTTATACTTGACTTGCTTCAATCGCAAATCAATTACGATCTGTATAAATCACAAATTCATAATGCTATACATGTTAGTATTGTACTAACGTAAACATATCCTAAATAACTCCATAATATTTTTGATACTCATCATCTATCAAAATACTTAACTCTTAATTCCATTTAACCTTGTAACCAACTCTTCCAATTTACTCAAAATGGTCCTTCATCCGTTTATCACTTAGATTCTTAATACCAATAATTTCAGCAAAGTACATCAATTATACAACACTTACACAACAACCCATTAATTTTCCATATTCAGACAACTCTTACTATCTTTAAAGAATCAGTATTTTGTATTGATATATACACTGGAATTCAATTCCGTTTATTCCTTTGAAAACTAGATTCGAATACGAATCTATCCATATAAAGAACTCCTAATTCATTCTATACAATTTATGGGTTGACCAACAGAATCTATTTTGCATAATCTGTTGTCCGATTTTTCTGACCTTTCCTTGGTTAAAAACTCATATCTTTTTGTACATACCTTGAAATTGATCCCCGTTTGTTTTAAACAAAACTAGACCGTTATATGAACACAATATATAAAAATAACCTCCAAATTATTTTATATAATTTCTGGTGAATTTTCGAACCTACTGCCAGATTCAAAATCCAAACTGTTTTCTTTAACTTCATTCTTAGGTTCTTCATCAATTCTTACAACCAATTCTTTAAAATCACTTAACTCTTCAAAACCTATAAAATATAAGAAATCAACATCCTCTTCAACAACTCAAGATGAACTTAAACATGAACCCTAGTAATATTCATGTCAAAACGTAGAGAATTGAACGTAGAATATTTTTCCTAATCACACCGAAGTCTAATTATCAACAAGATTGCTTCAAAATTCAAAACAAAAATACCTACCTTGTAAGCTTTGGGGGTGTCGGACTTGGATGAAGAAGAAGCTAAAATGTTCCCCATTATTGTTATTCTAATATTAATTATTTCTATCACATGCTTAATATAATATCATAATGGAATTTTTTATTCCATTCCATAAGAATTTCCATTTTTGCCCTTAATGAATCTTCCTATTCACCATAAAACCAAGCCACCTAATACATATCATATAACAAAGTCAAATATGAATTAATTTGACTTTTATTTTCGAAATTCCCCTTAAATTTTCAAAATTTGCGTTTTAGTCACTAAATTCCATTGTTTCAGTTAAATCTGAAAAATTGCACATTTCCAAACCAAATTTCTCTGATCCAAAATATTAAAATAATATTTCCAACCAATTTATATCATCCTTCAAATTTTTGTAATGTTCCAATTCAATATAAAATTACTGATTCCTTACCGGCTTTAACCTTTTCTAGTTTTTCTTTACTAAAAATTCCAAATCCAAAAATATAATTTCTATAAAACTCCACTCTCAAGAGTAAACCATCTATTTATGAAATAAATTTCTTTTTAGGAAATTTCACTTAATTCCCTAAACTTTTTCCCAATTTTCTACTTTGACATCAAACTTTCAAACTTTTTATTTTGGTCATTGTCTAAATTTATGGGGTATTACAACATGTTTAGCGAAATTTCAAAGGTTCGAATTTGACAATCATTCAAGTGGCTTAATGTGGGACCTTAAACCCACCGTATAGAAAGATGTTTGTCTCGAGTTCGAATCATTTGAAGGGATCATCATTTGGTCAGACTCTATTTAAGATGGCACAGAGAGACAAATATTTGATCTTGCCTACCATAGAATGAGCTTTAAAAGCTTGAAAACCTAGAAGAGAGATGGGAATGTATGGTGCCTTGTGTTATTGCTTCTATTCCTGCAACGAGTTTAGTCACTCATCTGTGGTTCAATTTAATGTATATTTATTAAAATTGGAATGATGATGCAACTGAATGGCCTATTCACATGCACTTTTGACATCAAAAAATAAAATACCATTCACATAAAATAACTTAGTCAACTACTGATGCTCTTCACGTGTTGGTTAACAGCCGTGTTAAATAACTCACACCTGCAATATGGAACAACAATCATATGCATACATAAACAAATGGAGAACATTAAGTAATCCTTTTAGCAAAGATAAAAGATTAATAATTGAGTATTGACCATGTCGAAATAAGTAAGGGGGGAAGTAAGTATTTTAATGATCAAGAAATGAAACTACAATGATCTGAATAATGAGCTACCTATCAAGTTCAGGGACCATTGACATGTATTTTAACAGTATGTTAAGCATATCACTATCTTAGTCAAGTTCATTACATGTATAAATGTTCATCCATATAATAATCAGTAGAATCAACCCCGGAGGATAAATGAACAAAGCAAGTTCCTAAACTGCAATGTCACTTGTCACTTGCGCTCAAGTATGACTATGTGCCTAATATATGTATGATCAGATTTTTTTTAAGTTCTTTCATTTATTTGGAACATCCTTGAAAGTCATATCTTCCTAAGCCTATATATATATAATTTCCTACACTTTTATAGGATACAAATATCAGAGACAACAAATACATCAAGAAGAATTACGAGTTAGCAGAGTAAGTCGTAAGTCGCTTGTTAGACTCAGAAGGTAGTGTAAACAAACATTAACTTCGAAAGTATAATCATTCATTACTATTTGTTCAACAAAAGTAAATAGTGAGACACTTGAATTTGCAGAGACAACCAAATACGTAAAATAAATGCAGCATTCAACAGGAATGTAGCAATAGAATAATATTTAAAGGATAAGCATGTAAAAATTCTTGGAAAAGAATGGGGTCTTGTTTACCTGATTGGAGTTCCAGGGGTATAGAGTGGGTTATTGGCAACATACTCAACATACAAGTTATAAATATACTTGAGTGTTTCACGAAGATCACCAGTCCCAGGATTAGTGACCAATATAAACTGCACACAATGACAAATAGTGCGGCAGAGTCAAACATGCACAAATTCCCAAAACATAACCGGATGGTAATAATGCTGTAAGAAACATACAGAAAAAACGACAATACTGGGTAATTTTGGTGCTACAATGGAATTATTTTAATTGATCAAACAGAAGCTTTAGCCTTAAAGAGGGTTTCGCATGGTATTTGTTGAATTAGTAAGTTTGAGAAATAAGCACAGTAATACAATGTTCAGCCATAGGAGAGATGACCCTATAGAAGAACTTAGATACATATATATAAGCATATATGATCTTAATTCTTAGTAGATTTTGTATTGAATTTAAGTACTAGTGAAACAGGTCAGAAAAATTGGGGCAAATCCCTCACAGATTTTAGGTTTATAGTATTTAATCTCATCATCATCATTATTTTGATTTTCAAATTCCCTGATCGACCCAGAGTTTTCTCATTAAATTCAAATGAAAAAAAAATCCAGCGTATATTAGTTGAACCACCATAACGAAGTAGGAAAAAAAAAGGAAGAAAAAGCAGACCTTAATACCAGAAGGAGTTTCCATGAAATTAAGTTTGTAGGTATTAGTACGGAAGCTATGAAAAGAACAACCTTGACCTGGCAATTGAGGGACCCCTAAATTTCCTTTGTCGGCGCTGCGGATCATCAACGATTCAAAAATTATGAACTTGAAAAAGTTAAGCGAAAAGGAAAGAATGAAAGAAAGAAAGAGAGAGAGAGAAACCAGGTGGGATCCATTTTTGCAGCAAGGGATTTGAGCGAGAACAGGAGACCGAACATGAGCTTGTGATCTTGTTGAAAGTTGAGAGTGTGGAGGGGGCGAATCCACTCCCTGTAAAGCAAGCACACTCCATTCCGATTGAATATGTAGATCATGTGGGAATTGTTTTCCGTCCCCGTCCCCGTCGGTGTCGGCGGCGATGGACTGAGCTCGGATCCTCCAAAAAACTGCATTCTTTCTTTTCTTTTGCAATGATCCTATTGTATGATCAACCTATGGATATTTTGTCTCAGAGCTAACAATTGACCTTGGCTTATGGCTACCAAGTAGAAGTAAAGATTAGAACAGCCGAATAAAGAGTTACGGTTACCAAACGATACAAAAGAGAGTTAATTGATTTTTTGACTAAGTTTGTTGTTGTAGTTGATTATTTTAGAAAGTTTGAGAATTTACTTCTTTTAAAAAAAAATTAAAATATGAAGTATAAAAAATTATTAAGATATTAAATAAATTAATTATTAAAATATTAAAAAATCAATTATTAAAAAAAATCAATTTAAGGACTATATTGAGCGTAAAAAATTAGGGACCATATTGATTTTATTGTAAAAGTTTGAGGGTTTCATATACTATTTAATCAAAAAAATATTGTTAAAATAATTTAAATTCTTGTAAATTAAGTTAAAAATCTAGATCACATGTTTCTTTATTTTTTAAATTTCCAGAACAATTTTAATGAAATACTGAAAACATCTTTTTTCTGTTTTCATATTTTCAATTATTTTTGTTTTCATATTTTCAATTATTTTTGTTTTCATTTTCCAAAAATCATTTTCTAATTTTACAACCAAACATATTTTCTTCAACGTTTTCTATTTTTTAAGATAGTGAAAATGAAAATAACCTATATTTTCTAAAATCAAATCGGCCCTTATTATTTTCTAGAAGTCATGTGTTTGAGCAGTTCTTTTATAAGGGTGTGCGTTACTAATTAGTTAAAAAATTTTGAACCAATACTATTACCCTTATAATCACTCCATACTATTAAAAGAAATTGATAAAAAAATTAAAATTGTATTAACATAATTATTAATGTTTTTACGGCAAATAAATTATCTCCCGTTAAGTTTCAATAAAATTGATACTATATTTAATTTAAATTGAGATAATAACACTTTAATCTTTATTAATTAAATATTTTATAATTTAATCTTAATTTTAATTAAAAATAGTTCATCTAAAATAATAAAAATAAGAAAAATATATATCATATTTAAAGGAGATATAACTAGGGACCTTTGAATAGGAACATTTATCATTGTATCAAGATACAACTTTGGTGCTTTTGAATGTTTGAAAAAGAAAATGGCCCATTTGACAAATATGGATCGATATAAGTAAATTACTTGATGATCATCTTATGATACTCATAATTTGTGACCTATAAAATTTTCGGGATCACGAATAAAAACAAAAAAATGAATCGCTATAGAATGAAAATATATTTCCCTATTTTAAAAAATTATTTTAATATTTTATTAATAAAATATAGAAACATAATTAAAATTGGACAATAGTTAGAATCATGAATTAATTTTCCAGCACAACTTAATTCCTTCATGTTTCATGAATATTCTTATCTTGCCATGCTGTTTTGAACGAATTCTCTGTTGTCAGATAATAAGACCATTGAAGCACACCCAACCAACTGCACAAACACCTAAAGCTTACGTATATATATATATATATATATATATAGAAAACAAAACAACATTCACATACCAAAATCGCAGACCAAAGTTACAATCTTCTCCATTGGGAACAAAGAACCTCAGTACTCCCACTTCTTCATTTCCATACCATCTGGAGGACTTCCTTCCACCTTTACACCAACTTCTTTCCAGTTTGTTGAAAACACTGTCCCATTTGATTCCACCTACAAACATACCATCCGAAGTTATGAATATGTCCATGGCAGATGAACAATTAAAGTACATGTAATCTATCAAAGTTATACAAATTTGAGGGGCAAAATTAAACAATCTGTTGGGATTTGGGATGAAATCTTACAAAAGATTTTTGCATGGCCCTCCTTGTGTCTTCATCAGCATCCTGATAAATGTCTCGGAAAAACTTATTCAAAGCAGCGTCACCATCAAGCTTTTCATCTTTCTCCTGAAAGCCAACCATAGAGGGTCACAAGTCCCAAAATCAGACACAAAGGGGGAAAATAGTTAGCTTCAAGTTCAATGTACCTCCTTTACTTGAACTACAATTTTATCCCAATTAACCCTCTTTGGTTTGGAGGACGTATACAGCAATCTTTGATTTGCAGTTACTGCAAACAGAAGTAGTTTATGACACGACCACGAGCACACAGCGAGAATAAACCTTTATATTTCAAACTATCATTACATATAGGTGCAAAACTGCAAAAGCGTGCACACATTATTGCAAAGATGCATACGAGTGCACAGGGAAAATTAACAAGTCAGTACAGGACGCAAAACTAAGCTCAGACATTTGGTTGTCTCATGGTTTAACGTCCAGTAATAGAGACGAAATGAAACAGATATCAACTTAATACACTAACCCTTTGGGGAACAGCAACTTCCCTGCTGAATTCAAGAGATGCCCAGTGAATATGTTCAGCTTTCGTCAGCCGAATCTCAATTTTGGTTGAAAAAACATCATATCTGCATCTATTAGGAATTATCTATTCAACAATAACAAAAACAGTAGAAACAATGAGCATCTAAACAAGAGATGCAATCACATAGCAAAAGATTCAGCAAAAAAACTTGTGTCACTTCTAAACAGAAAAGCAATCCACACTTCAGCATAATGTTTTCAATATCGTCAGTATTATCTACAGAGTTCTATGTTTGGACAGTTGCCAAGAAATAAAATTCCAAACATATTTACCGTACTACTCTTACAAACCAGAATCGTGATAACATGAATTTCACGTAATACCTTTCCAAATAATCGAGGCTGGAAATGATATGCATCTTTACCGGGAACTTTGATGGAAACACTAAGCTGCAGTGCACCAAAGAAAGATAGCATATCTTTAGCCTATATACTCATTAGCATCTCAAGGACAGAAGCACAAAAAAACAAGAAAATGAAAAAACAAAAGGAAGACAGATAAGTTAGTACGCAACTTACGATTTGTTCACCATAATCCACTTTAACACAATCTCGCGGTATTCCCTTGGCAAATATTGTGACAACAACTTCCTCCGGTTTCTGGTAAAACAAATGCTTCACTTCTTTCACAGGTACATCATTTGTTGTCATCGGAACAGGCACATCTTTCACTGGCTCAACTTGTTCTGCAGGTACGACATTTGTTGTCACTCCTTTCAGCATCTCCTTTGGTAGCTTACCAGTTTCCTCTAAACAAACACACATATTCATAAGACACGGTTATTAAGATACTATAGGTAGCTTTTAAATACATAGGAATTTTAATAGATAAATTCCTTACTTCCTAAAAGCCCTTATTTAAAGCTAAGTACCCACAATGCGCTCTTCACATTCTTTGATCAACTTGGAAAATCTGGACTCTCCTAGTGCCAAAGCAGGACCACTCTCCAACGTAGCCTTACCAGTTTGATATTCCTCGAGCTTCATACATGCCGTACTGTAGACAATAGTTTACATATAATCTATAAACTCTACAAAACTGCCTCAAAATTTAGCTATTTATAATTAATATAAGGGTAAAGTATAGTAATGGTCACTGAACATTTCTGAAGCTTGCATTTAGGTCCCTCAACTTTTAAAACTTGCAATACAGTCTCCCAATATTTAATCCATTTGCAATATGGTCCCGCACCTATGAAAATTAGGGTTAATTATATAAATGGTCACTGAACTTTTCAGGCATTTGAATTTAGGTCCCCTAACTTTTAAAACTTACAAGACATTCCTCAATTTCATTCTAAACCCCAAATTCCAAAGTAATTCAATTTTATTCTAAACCCTAAATTCCAAAATAATTCAATTACATTCTAAAACCCAAATTCTAAAATATTTCAATTTAAGGAGGAATATACTAGATTATCTTTAAGAACGTGATAGCGTTTTGATTTTTTTACTTTTGTGAAGAAAAAAAATACACTCCCTCCTCGTAAATGTAAATTTAGTAACCTTCAATAATTTAAATATAAAAATGATTATGGAAGAAATTGAATAAAAAAAAATCTCTCAATGAAAAAATTATGAATCAAAATCCCCAATTGACATCCTTATAATTTTTATTTATTTCAATTATAATTTAGTTTTTTAATAGTTTGATGTGATTATAAGATAGTATTTATTCAATTTTTTTAATTTATTAATAATATAGATATACCCTACAAAAACAATTGTTTGAATTTAAAACTTTTAAAGAAAATAACTTTTTTTTACCTATGAAATCACTTAACGAGTTATAATATAATTTTGTTAAGTGTATTAGAAAATTAAAAAATAGATCATGCTAGAACTAAAAGAATACGTGACCATGAAATAGAAAGTTTACGTACGTTACGAAAACGTGACACAAACCCCATCTCTTTTGAGTCGATTGTTATCATCAACTTAGGGTATATTATATTAAGAGAAAATAACTTCAGTGACTAAAAATGCCTTATAATATACGATTTTAACCAACTTTTTTTGGATTTGCGAAAATGACCAACAAATTTATAATGCCAATTTGTAAATCGCAACACAGTTTCCAAAATCGCGTTGCGATAGTACTGTTTACCTATATCGGTAATTAGCGTTGCGAATTTGAAAATCTCGTTGCGATAACATTGTTTACCTATATCGGTAATTAGCGTTGCGAATTTGAAAATCACGTTGCGATAACACTGTTTACCTATATCGGTAATTAGCGTTGCGAATTTAAAAATCTCGTTGCGAATTTGAAAATCGCGTTGCGATAGTACTGTTTACCTATATCGGTAATTAGCGTTGCGATTTACATATTATCGTTGCAATTTACATATTCGCGTTGCGATTTATCTATTCGCGTTGCGAATTTGGAAAATCGCGTTGTGATAACACTGTTTACCTATATCGGTAATTAGCGTTGCGAATTTGTAAATCGAGTTCGATAGTACTGTTTACCTATATCGGTAATTAGCGTTGCGATTTACATATTCGCGTTGCGAATTTGGAAAATCGCATTGCGGTAACACTGTTTGTATATATCGGTAATTAGCGTTGCGAATTTGAAAATCGCATTGCGATAGTACTGGTTACATATATTGGTAATTAGCGTTGCGAATTTGAAAATCGCGTTGCGATAATACTGTTTACCTATA